TTTGATATATAGCCCGACGTTTGGAAGCCAAAATTTCTGCTCATAACTCAGAAAAACTATTTTGGCTTCATCAAATCATAGGCCTTCATCATAGCAGTTAGCCTTCCAGTTTATTTATAGTTCAATGCATGTACATCGCACAAATAGGGAACTTTAGATTCGCTACGGCTATGGAATCTAGTACGACTACTAGATTTTCCATCAAATATCAGCTACTAAAAACTTATAATGGTATGTGTTTTGGTGCAAATGTTGCTATAAAGATGTGGTATGCAAAACAAAGGACGATAAAAAGTCTGCAGTAGCAGATATTTAACGGGAAATATCTCGTAGTGGTATGTACCAGATTTCGTAGCCGTAGCGAATCTAAAGTACCATAATGCCTGTTAGGATCCTTACCAGATCTAAGAAGAACAGTTTAGAATTGCATGATAGAGCTATCCAGTATACTCCTAGGTTTCCTTTAGTTTTGTGTTGGACTACAAGAGCTCAGTTTCGTCACGACACGACACTGGCTTCTACAGTTAAGCATCAGACACCTACACACGTAAAAACGTACAAGTTGTAACAAACCTGCAGCAGACTTGTAGCAATGTTGTTCCAACAACTTGTCAACAGAATGTGTTCGCACTGCTTGTTCCCAGCTTGTTGACAACTCGCTACAAGGTTGTTGAGCTCAACAGACTTGTTACAAGTTGTTCCAACAACTTGTTATCGTCCTGCAATTCAACAAGTTGTGAGTGACAACCTGTAGCAACTTGATAAAATATCAACATTGTTACAACTTGTTGACAAGCTTGCTACAAGCCTGCTGGAACACATCTTGTTGACAAGTTGTGACATTTTTACGTGTATATATCGAGTCACCGCTTTGTGTTCTTCTGTAGGTGGCAAGGCACTTGATAACTCACTAAACAGGTCGGTGGAAATCTCGGAAATAGATGCAAGATTGAACGCTTTACAACAATATATGAAAGAAAATATGGACTGAATCTGTCAGGAGAGTCGGTTTTCAATCAAGTTGATGGAATATAGCATATCACCGATGCCAGATAAGTACAGGGAAATATTCTAACTATAGGATGATATGTATATAGTATGTAGCATATATATAAATATATACAGTCTGAATCAGTGGGTTGATATATCATGCAACCAATTTCTCTGCGATAGTTTTGGTTCAACCATAGACATTTTAAATGTACATAATTGTAATTATTTTGCTAAATTAGAATTAAACTTATTAGAAAAATGCGAATAATCTAAAACTAAGTCAACACTTACTGGGCAAAAATAAAAGGCATGAACTACCGCTGTGCAAACAACATCGCTCCCGCAAGCAACTCTGTTAGCAAAAATAGCAGAATTATGCAATATTCGGCAGAGCGCGTCAAGGGATTGGGAGCTACAATCCTGGAAAAAAATTAGTAGACTTCTTAAATTTTCAAACTTTGTCCCCCTCTCCCCTTATACAATGTTGGTATTTAGGTGACATGTGTTGCAAATCCACTTTACCTGAACCAACATTGTTTGTGGGGGGAGGGGGGGGGGATTTAAGGTAAATAGTTGCTTTATTTGAAAAATGCTCACATTTTTATCATATATTTTCAAATTTGGGTGTATATTTCAAAAAGTCTAACATATTTTTTCCAAGATTGTAGTAATAAGGGGAGGAGGGGGGCGTGGCAATCTGACCTCACTGCACAATTATCCTTCATGATCTCCTACAGTATTACCCACCCCAACCTCTTAAAACCGTCAGCTCGCAGGCTATGTGAAGAATGTTACAAACAAACAAACACGAGTTTAATTGTTTTGTATGGCGCAATACGATCCAAATCTTTGCTAAAATTAAATAAAACGCAATTAAGCTGCCAAGATTGACTGGTCATCTTGCGTGGGACTCTGTACACCAAGGGGGGGGGGGGGGGTCAGGGGCATGCCCCCATAGTAATGTATTTATGAAATATTTTTAATTTTTCTTACGACAAGATTCTAATTAGATTTTAATTACAGATCAGACCTCTAGGCATGCACAGACTGCCCAAGTACAAGGCATTATACGTACTGTTTTCAATTGATACATACAAAATCGCATCATTCCATGAGCAAATAGATCCAGGCTAGATTTCTGTAAACATATTTCCTTGTTTACAAATAAGCTATCGAGTAGTTTGCTCTGAAATTTTTCGTTTACGATTAATTAAATTTATATTATAGGGACTGTAACCAGAGCGAGGTTAAGACTTATGATTGACGTTTTTTAATACGGCAGATCGAAACCTTCGGAAACTTGTAGAACTTATCTTGAAATGCGAATTGAAGTTTCCTGTTTGCCGTTACCGCTCTGCCGTATAAACGTCAATCTTAACCTCTCTAATGTTTATGCAATAGCGCGTTGACAGCAAAACCATACAAATATACAGACTAACGAGTAATGTGATTTTTTCTGTGTTGGTGTAATGTACTCAGCCGAATATGATGTTTGTGATGTTACTCTGAGTGTATATCCACACCGGGCAGGCTTGAAAAATATGCCTGGCCACGGTGGGAATCGAACCTACGACCTTTGGAATACTAGCCCAATGCTAGCGAAATATCACATACTCGAACCGACCTGACCGCGTAGCTCAGTTGGCACAGCATTGGGCTAGTATTCCAAAGGTCGTAGGTTCGAATCCCACCGTGGCCGGGCATATTTTTTCAAGCTTGCCCGGTGTGGACATTCACTCAGAGTATGGTTGTCAATATAATTGTTTTGTTACGAGGAAAACAGCTCGTTTTCACAGCTGCCAAGTATCACGCATTTGACATTATGACATACGTCTCAAAATACTTTCTTGTGCTCATATATATACCTAGTATACGATCCGGTATTTCTTTATTAACTATCATATTACTTATTATGCTTGTGATGTTTATAGTCCATACGAACCTACTGGAAACTGATGAATAACAGCATACGTTTTATATATCGAACAGGATATGTTCACGTTCGTCATCAGAGTGGATACTTATAATATTACGATCTGTAATTTATTCTATATCACCAGTGGGTCATATTTTAAAGATACCGACGTCTAGTCCAGCGATGTACGGGTTGAAGTTTTCAATGTGTGTATATTTAAGGTAAACTTAAACGAGTTTAATCGAAGAGTTTTTTGTGTCGAGTCAAGTCGTCGCTTCCTCAATCGTCAACGTATCTTGTATCGGCATGCGGAAGGCTACAAGTTGTTTGTATGGCCGATGTTTTGAGCATGAGAAAGAAACGTTTCAGCTTTGTGATCTCAAACCTGGCGACCATATCGTACAGCAAAGTCTCTTTAGCTTGGCGACGACGTTTTGGCATCACATGATCGTTGAGAATATAGATGAGAAGCAGATCAATGTTATTCACTATTATCATGATCTAGAGCCGTTATGGAAATTCCCGTCTGTCTGTCGTACTTCGTTAACATTTATCCCAGACAGGTACGTATAAGCGACAATTAAGGCTGGTGTACATTAGCAAAGTTTCTGTGATCACAGTAGGAATTTTGCAAAGGTAAATTCTAAGTTTTGAAGGATTTGTAAGAAATGTTCGAGGAAACTGACTAATCCCTCAAACATTTCTTACAAATCCTCGTTGATCAAAATTTGTTACGAACATTAATTGGTAGCTATACTTGGCTACCAATATCTTCACAAATTTGTCCTTCATTGCGATAATATACATAAACAAGTCATGATTATTAAAAGAACAAAACGATTGATTTATTTAAGGTTAAGCTTATTATTTATATGAACGAATTTTGTCTCTTATAAAGTTGTACTGTACATCTGTATAACTATAACAAATGTTCAATAGAACTATATACTGTTTTAAGCCTGCTTTGCATATGGTCGTAAAAATTGAGTCACGATCTTTCTCAACGGCCAGTTTATAATAGTTTATACCTGTAAACCACATATAAATCATAAGTATTCTCTAGTTATAATCACTCCGCGTATTTTCAGTTCTAAAATGTTGTATTTCGACTGATGAGAAAGATCATGACTCGATCTCTACGACAAGTATGGAAACTAGGGTTAACCTATAGGTGAAAAGTCTTCTAAAGTCTGGTACGCAAGGTACAAGTTTCTGAAGCATTTTCATTCAGTTATCTAAAAGTTTATTATTATTATTATTTAATCTTCTTTAAAAAAACAACGGTAGCCCTTCAGCATAGATAAGAGCTGTTTTCCAAGGGGCCGTTGCACAATACATATTTACAAAAAAAGTTTGGGTTAATAATTACAATTAGTATATAGTTACAAATTACACATTACCGTACCTCCGGTACGTAATTACAAGTATGAGTTAGAACTATTGTTCGCAGGCTAAGTTAGAACAAGGGGCAAAACTTGGCTGGAAAAAAGAAGTATACGGTCTCTACCAGACCGTAATATTGGCGTACCTCCGGTGCGTAAGTACGCGATTTAGTGCGCAACAAACTTTAACACATATTTGTATTTCACACAGGTTCTACCGTATCGTGTATGACGAAAGCGAATGCCTACCAGCTAACGAAGTTTTGAAGAAGGCAGAAACAAAGCTTGGAGAAAAGAATTTCTGTCCATTCACCAACAACTGCGAACACTTTGCCAACGAATGTAAAACTGGCGAGAAAGAATGCCGTCAGATTTGGACCTCAATTGAAGATCTGGGAAAAAACGCAATCTCAAGCATAACATCATTTCTAGACAGAGCTAGAAAATGGTTTCGAATGATGCTGCGCTCTGAGAATAGTTGGTTCCGACAACTAGGGGTCACAGAACTTGTGGAATATGGTGCGCAATTTTGTACTGGATTGTCGATTTTTGTTGCTTTTACCGTCGAGGTCGTCCTACTGGGTAAGAATATGCTGGACGTCTCTGAGGTAATTAACCTAAGTTGATCTTACCACTAGCCGGCAAACTTCAAAGGGGGCGGCAAACTATGTTGAGCACAAAGGAAAAAAATGTCACGTGTCGAGATAGGGGGACGCTTGTGTTGACATTTGTAGGAAATTATATTGAAAGTGTTGGGTTAATACTGATAATAAAAGCATTT